CTCCACCCGAATTTGCCGGGAAATGATAATGCTCATTTCGTTTATGTGAGGCCATTACTGTAGGCCATGGTTGCTTGATATTGTGTTACCAGTGTAGTATCCACAGTGTTGCTGTTGTGCGCCAGGACTGTAGTGAAACAAGACAGCTCTGGTGTTGTCATTAATACTTAATGGCAGACTGAAACGCCAATCACTGTGTTTCTGCCATCTGCAGGGCTCAAAATTACAGAATGTGAACACGGACACCCGGGTTTCGGTTAGTGTGCAATTAGCTTCCTGCATCTGATACAGTCACTAGTCACAGGTCATGACCGACAACTGCACCGGTCACCAAATACAGGAGGGAAAAGTCAGATAGGAAGTCCTGATACGAGCAGCTTCCAAACAAATAGGAACTACATAATAGAACGGGCCTGCAGCTTTCAATGAGGGAGGTACTTTATGTTCTCTCCTTGCTGTGATGCAGATTTATGCTTTAAAAGGTAAATATTGTTAAACATTTTTTCACAGGAAAAGTGAAAAGAGAGAGAGAAAAAACCCTAGATCAAATCCATTGTAACCAACTGCCTTCAAAACTCTGATCTAATTAGTAAATAGTCCATCTGTGTGTAATTTAATCTGAGCATAAATCCAGGTGTTCTGTGAAAGCCTCAGAGGTTTGTTAGAGACCATTAGATAAGAAACGGCATCATGAGGAGTAAGGAACAGAAATTTATGGAGAAATTTAAAAAGTGTGAGGATATAAAGTAGTATTCCAAGCTTTGAATATCTCTCAGAGCACAGGTAAATCTGAAAATGAAAATATTATGATTCAACTGCAAACTTTTGAACACATGGCTCAAAGAAGAGAACAATATTTATAGAAGAATAAATAGGGGTTTTTGATTATTCTAGAGGAGTCGCAGAGATCCTGAGCCAAGGTAGGAAAATCTTTTTAATGAGTAACTACTGGTCATATAAAAAACAAAGGCAAGAAAACAGCCAAAAGGAACTGTTTGCCACAAACCATATAGGAAAAACACCAGCATAAGGAAGAATATGAGCTGAGAAAATAAGAACAACCTGAAATTGATGTGAGTTTGTGGATGGACCAAAATGCAGACGAAATGGGAGCGTGGATCATATTGAACATTTAATGAAAAAACTTGCAAACACCACAGGAAGCCAGAGCATAACAAGAAAATATTACAGGAAAAACAGGAAAGTAACATGATATAATGAAATTAGATGGGAGTAAGCAAAAATTAGTGAAAGGAGCAGAAGTGTTTAACTACTGGGAAGACGGATCCAACCGAATACAAGGGAATCCTTGTTGAGATAAACTATGAAAGACTTGCAGCTGGGGCTATAGTTCTTCTCCCACCAATAATGACTTAAAACATACAGCCAGAACTGCCATACTACCATAGAAAGGCTTAAATCAAAACGTATTCATGAATTAACCCTTTCATGCATAGTGGACGCTACAGTGGACAGCTGTCTAAAAGTCATTTTCTTGTGCTTTTTGTGGATTTTTATGTTACAGATGCACGTAGACCACTGAAATGGACACTAATGCATCATAATACTATCAACTACTGGCCATCAGATGCAAATGCAAGAAATTATTTTTGTCAAATCCAATATGGCCGACCCGGTCTCTCCTTCTACTGTAGACTACTCTTGCAGGTAAAAAAACATATTGTGACATCAGATAACCCCTAGAGAACAATACTACTGATGTATTTTTTTCAATAACAACTTTGTATTTGGAGAAAATTACAATTGATCACCTAAAAAAATAAAATATTATTTTTACAATTTTTTTTCCTACCTCTTTTTTATGCCTTAAGAAAATAAAAAAAAAATGGAAAAAAATCCTAACACAAAGGATCATAATTCATGCATGAAAGGGTTTAAAATAACCCAACTCGTCCAGCCTGAAACCCAATAGTGAATCTGTGGCAAGACTTGAAAAATCTAACCTGAGCTCGAGCTATTTGCAAAGAATAATACGCAAAAACTGTAGTCTATGTATGTGCCAAACTTGCACACCTTAAAATAGAAATTGTAAAAGTCGGGTCTAGAAAATCATAACTCAGGAGCGCTGGATTTAAAATTTTAATAAACTATTGTTAAAAAATGTTTGAAAACCATCAATTATTTTCCTCCCACATATACTATTCCTGAAAATCCCAGTAGAACACACTGTAGTTTGTGTTTGTTATGTGACACAGCAAGAAAAAGTACAAGTGGTATGAATACTTAAAAAAAAAATCCTCCTATTGCACTGAATACTTTTACTAAGAGTCTTGTATCACCTCAAAGTTATTAAAAAACTATTTCATGCATGTCAAACGGTGGAAAATTTAGTATATATCACATGTTCACAGAGAGCTATTAAAACCAATTGAATAAAACAGTGACAAAGACTGAAAATTCAATATTTTCTTTTACTACTAAAAAAAGATTGCAGTGTTGAATTTAGAGCCAGGCAGGCATAAATAGTTCATTTTGTTTGTATAAAGTGAACAGAAAAGTAAAAACGACAAAAAGAAAACGTTGCTCAAAGTCACTTTAAAAGACTAGAAGCAAAAATATAAACAAATGAGGGATAGCTTAAAATGTTACACAGTTCAGTTTAACATAATCTCTGCTTCCATAACACATTTCTTTTAACACTGAATCTTGAAAAAAAAAAAGAAAGAAAAAGAAACCAGTGAGTTAATGGAGTTTGTGGAGTAAAACATTGGAAAGGGGCAATATTGAAATTGTTAAAATGACAGAAGAGGAGTGAGAATAAATGAGCACTGGAGCCCTAATCACGGAAACCTGGCTGAAAAACAACTGAAGAGAAGAATCACTCTCATCACCGACCCAATCTGCCCTGTCTTAAATACAAAATACCTCAATTTGCCACTGAAGCAGCAGCAACTAATACGATTCTGTTTCCTCTAGCCTTTCATTTGTGCTTGATTTCTTTAAGGTTTAAAAGCCTCATTTAGTCATTCCAGAACAAAAATGATTTAGATTGTTGTTCGATGAAGCTGTTTTCAGATAATCTCTATAATAAAACCAAAAACATGTAAAGATAGATGTAAATATATAATGTCTCAAAAATCATTGTTTCTAGGGTTCTCACTGAAATATAATTTTACTAATTGTTATACTGTGATTTGACAACTTTATTGTTTTGTTTTCTTCTACAAGAGTATATACACAGACATTAAAAGTTAAAGGAAGTGTTAGATTTGATGTTATTTATCAGATAAGAAATCAAGTAATTAGAGTATGAAAAATTGTTGCTTGAGATTCTAGACATTCATATTCATCCTATTATCCAAAATTTTAAGAATTAAATACACAAAGGGCTGTTTAGTTTGTATGTTGACACTGAAAGCACCTAAGTTGGTTTAATTGGGAGGAATAAAGGAAACTTTTTTGTGGATCATCAACTTGTGAGAATTTCAAGCATGCAGGTTGAAGTTCACAGTGTCCTGTTGCATCATGAGTGGGTATGTTGCTTTTCAGGAACAGCTCTGGAGAAAATGAAGAGTCCACTGCACTGAACCCCAATGAAAACCTCCTAGTTATTCCACCAAATATTGATTTCTGAACTCGTCCTGAGTTAAAACATTAGTGTTGTTGTTTCTAAATGAACATGAACTTGTTTTCTTTGCATAATTTGAGGTCTGAAAGCACTGCATCTTTTTCGGTATTTTGACCATTTCTTATTTTCTGCAAATATGTACAAAATCTTTGCTTGAATTTCAGAGACATATTGTCAGTAGTTCATAGAATAGAAGAACAATGCTCATTTTACTCAAACATAAACCTATGAAAAGTAAAATCAGATCATCTTAAGATGTCTCTTAATTTTTTCCAGAGCTGTTAGGACCAGGACATTGCCAGCAATGTGCCATTTTCATCATTTATTAAAAATATTAAAGCCAAATTCAGTAAATGTTTTGCACTCAAACTTAAAAAAAAAAAACTTCTATGCAACTTCTGTTAGTAGGAACCATTTTGCACATCTATTCCACATTGATAGTGAATGTTAGGATATTCTGACAAGGCAATATTTACAGAGCTACAGCTCAACCTGTCAAGCTGTTTTTTTACTATGACATTTGATTTTTACATGTGTTTATAAAGCTTAAATGATCAACAATTTTCTGGAGACAAACCTTTTTTCAAGAAAAGTCCTCAAGAATTATTTGATCCATTAATTGCCCCTAATCTTTATAAACTTCCTTTCACTTTGACATAACTTTCCATCAGTAATAACCTTAGACTTGTAGGTCAGCTGCATTCGGCACTGAAACAGAAAAACAAAATGCAGAGTTTCACGTGCATCTGAACGCCTCGTGCTGCTGCACATGAATCTTCTGGGGCAGAAATAATGAGAGCACAACACAACAGAACACGCCAACGACGCCTCAAGTTTCCTCAAGTATCAACTCTTAATAACCTTGGCTTATGCAGATGAAAAGAGTCCTTCTGTCGGCTCCAGCAACAGAGACATGTTTAACGCAGAAAACATATTGAATGAGGCTAAGTTTGTTAAATCCATCATTCTGTGCTACCTGCAATTATTTATCAGTGTAGGATAAATAAAGACTATTTTGTGTTGGCTAGAGTTCAGTTCAGATCTTTTTTTTAAAAAAAGTCTGTACAATAAGAACAATTGTACCTATTTCTCTATCTTATTTAAAAACACTGAAGGGACCCAGATGTGAATTCTTTACTCAATAAAAATTTTCCCATGTGGCTTTGATTTCCGCCGTCATCTGCCAATGTGGCTGAAATCCCTCTTCACCCCCGCAGAGCTTTGTTATCACTGATTTCCAACATGCAGGAAAAGTTAGACGCAACAGGTTCGAGCATTCAGCAGCATCTATAAACCCCCTGTAGTGATTTGACCTTGGAAGAAAAGCGCTCTGAAGAGAAAAGTAAGATAGGTAAAAAATAAAATAAAATAAAAACGTCTGTAAGTTTCCTTAGGGGAGCCGCAGTCTTACCTATGGTCGTGATCACCGTGATGGCAAAATAAAAGGAACCTGCGAATTTCCACTGCACGCCGGCTTTGTGCGGTTTCAGCTGCAGCACCACCTTCTCCAGCAGGTCAAAGTCATCTTTGGAGAGGTTGAAGGTGCTGAGCAGCTCCTGCTTCCTCATGTCCAGCGTCTCCTTCTCGGTTGTCTCCTCCTGAGACTCCAGCGCGTCAAAGATCGCGGCGCCCACGATCAGGTAGGTGAAAGTGCAGATGATGAGGGCGAGGGTCCGCACGTTCTGCCTCTTCATGGTCGGTGGTGTGGTGCGGTCGCGGTGCGGGGTCAGGGGCGCGGGCGGAGAGGCAGCGCGGGGCTGCAGGTCGGGCGGAGAGGCTGGCTCATGGCTGTGGCGGCTCTGGCGGAGCAGCGGAGCCCTCTGCTTGTTTTATGATGAAGAGGAGCTGTTCATTCAGCACCACTCCCCCCAAACACACCTCCTCCACCCGAACCCTCCCCTCTTCATGAAAAGCCCCCACCATCCCTTAAATGTTTCCTAGTTTTCCAATGTTAACGCAAAAGATGATTTCTAAGTTTTATCAAAGTTCTCTCTTTTTTTTAATATACCAAAATGTATATTGTTTGGCAAACTATTTGAACTACTTTAACTTTTTTTTTTTTATGTTTTTTGACAGTGCAAACACAATATATATATATTTTTTCTGATTTTACAGAAAAGCATCATTTTTAACGGGAAACTATTTAAAACAAACGCAAAAACCGCTGAATTTTTTAAAAGTGTGGTGTGCCTTTAAATGTAACCCACATGAATAAATATTTTAAAGATCAAAACTGTACTTGCATCTGTTAATACACCTACAAGTTTTATGGGATACGTCTACCAGCTTTGGAGACTGGCGCCCAGGCTCAGTTGGACCGGATGGAGAGCGCCTGTGAAAATTAATTTTCCAGTCTTGCAATCTCAAATTGGTTTGAAGTAGCTATTTGGCTTTTCATTATTTTTCACCAATAGGTGGAGCCACTGAACCATACGTACTTAAATAAAGAAATGGACATAAGAAACTAATAATAAAAAGTACATTTTCCAAATCAAAAATGCTAATAAATTTGCAAATGCAGATAAACAGTTATTTTTCTGTTAAAACTTTTATAACATTTGAAAGGGCCAGATTACTGGAGTGCGCAACCAATATAGCTTAACTTCTTTAGGTCACACTGGATTTTATTTGGCACTTTCTGACTACAGAGGCCTTTATTCAAATGTTTACCAAATATATGAGTTTGTTTAAAATGTGTGAAGCGAGACCCTTTGCCTTCCACTTCTGTACCGTTTCAAGACACCATAAAGTTAAAGAAAGCCCCCGGTACAGCTGGTGTCATCTCCACCTTTTGCCACAACTTCCTTTACTGGTGTGCAGTTTATAACTCCACAGTTATTATTGAGTTATTAAGAACATAGCAAAGACATTGATTTAAGTTTAAATCATAAAAAACACACTATTAGCCCTTTAAGTCCATTAGGTTTTACCAGAAAATTCATGTGAACTCTGTTCACATTAAAGGTTTTTTGTAGAAACATTTTAATCCCTGAGGGACTACATGTACCACTACAGCTCTGTTTGGCAGACCAGTGACATAAATCATCAAACTCCCTAATTCCAGTCATTGGTGTGCATCACAAGAGAGTTTTGTTATTAAAATTAATCTGGTTCAAACTAAGATTGATGCTCCCAACGTCAGTTGGTTCAAAGTTTCTAAAGAATGCAGTTGTTAATTTTAGCTGTGAGAAAAACTGAATTGTTTGCTATCAAACCTCAGTTCTTATTTCAGGGAAGTCAACTCTGAAAGAAGCAAAGTTTGTTGGTTCAAAGAACTGAGTTGGATTTGTTTTATGTTGAAAAGGAAAAAGGAAACGGATCATCATGACGCAAAAAGACAAATGTCAAGTGAAATATTGACCGTGGTCAAGTTTGATGACCTTTGGAGTCGCTGGTTTCCAGTAAGTGGTTCCCTAATGCGTTGTGCGTCAGAGTGAGATGAAGCCGCGATTTGTTGAGGATGCTTTGAAGGCAGTTATGTTCATATTTTATTGCATTTGAGTGCTTATTTTTATTTTTTTTGGGCGGGTTATTCCCAAATATTAAAAGAAACATCTCTGGTTATAATACCTGAACAAGTAAAATAATATTTCATGATTATTTCTTTGCTTACAAAATACATTTAAAAGCACATAAAAGTACATTTTCAACTTAAAGCAACCCTCAAATTTAACCTATGCATGCGCCAACCTGCTACTGACTAATAAATCTTGGCTAATCTTAAATTCCTCCCTTTGAGCTGGGACAGAAATAGCTCTACTTTCAATAAACAGGTCAGTCAAGTCAGCTGGGACTGAGCCTGCATAAATCCTCCCTTCATAAATTGGAGTGCTGAAAGCCTCAGTCGATCAATGCATCAATTAATCCATAACACTTTAATACAGAATTTGGCCTATCAGAATAAAAAGAAATTCAAAAGAAATGAAAAAAAGCCTAATGATATAATAAATTGCCTTTTAGGCCGTCACATGTATTAGATTGAACATTTTAGGTTAACACGTGCAAAAAAAAAAGAAATTTTTTACTTCTCTATTGAACCATTAAGCTTTCTACGTCTGATCCATTCAAAACAATCGAACACACACAGAATGATGAAATGAAATTAAGGGAGTAGTCATAAAGCTTTCCGGTCATTGGAGCAGATGTCATTATTCAGAATGAGGCGAGGTTTGGCAATGGAAAAGAGGAAATAGCACGAGAAGCTTTATGAGCCCTCACTGTTCAAGAAAACCAAACGGAAAAGGTTTTTCATTCTTAATTTACAAAAAAGGGCCTCTTATTTGTTTAATGTCTCCTGTTAGACACCATCCGATCATGTCAGTGTCATGCATGAAATGCTCTCTTAGACTTCACAGATTATCTTTTACTAATTGGCATCATGCAGTTTGGAGAAAATCAATAGGATTCATGTCTAAGGTTCTAAGAGGATCGTAGAAGTTTGAATTTGTTTCTGGAGCGCCATCTTTATGTTGAGTTGAATGTTTATTTTGGTTATTTTTTCTGTTAAAGGACCCAAAAACAAACACCTACAATCAAATTTCAGTCATTTACAGTTATGCTGTAAATGAGCAAGTTATCCCTGCTCTTCCTCTCAAACAAGTTATGACAGGATTCAATATCACGTGGTTGGTGCTTTATTGAGGCTTCAAGACCCTATAAAACCACTCTGCTGCAGTTTTTTTCACGGAGTCTCTTTAAACAACGTCATTACCCAGATGAAGTGGAAATGGGGAAACTTTGCGGACTTCCCCACATAACTGAGATGTTTCAGACTCCTGACATTTTGCATGTGAAAAGCAGATTCAGAAAAGTGCATGGTTACACTCACGTCTCTGAAATATTCAAATGTATGAGTAAAATGTACCACATGCAAATTGAATGGCAGCTTTCTTGCCGAGTTGATTATGTGGCTTGCTAAATTAAGATATACAAAGACAACAGTCGTAATTTTTAGCTTGTTCTTATCACATGGTTTCTTGATTTTCTCTGACAAACGGCAAACTACGATTTTTGGTCTCAGTACCAGTGATGTTGTTTGTTTCAATCTTGTTTAAAAGTGTAACATATGCACTGAAGTTTTCAGTCTCAAATAATTACTTCAAATTAAATTGCAGCCAGGCATACCAATTAAGTCGTAAAGCCACTTTGAAAGCTGACACACAGAAACGAGGAGCATTTCTAACATGGTTTTCTGTTTCTGTTATTGATAATCATTACATCTTGGTCATTTTCCAATATGAGTCTCAGCTGTTGATTCCCTGTTGGCCTGCAGGCATCCAGCTGCAGGCTAACCAGTGTTTTCTTTACTGCAAAATCTCCATTATGTCCTTGTGAGTCACAGCTCTTCCTGCAGCTACAGACCCATTAAACAAAATTGTCCAGTGGCAGCTTCTGACCTCTGGCATGAACTGTGAGCATGGCATCAAGGCTGGACCCTCATTACTGTGATTCCAGAAAGGCAAAACCTCGTCTGCAGACAGATTTCATATTGGGAACCCAGGAGTGAACACACAAGATTAGAAACATTGATGCAAGCCTTACTGCTACAGTATTCATACCTCCCAAACTTTCTCACATTTTGACACCTTACGGACACAAGAATCGGGGTGTTTTACCATGACTTCATGCAAAATATCAACATTTTGCACCAACAGCTGGTTGCAACAAGAAGGTTGTGGGTCCAAATCCAAGCCTGGTGTCTTACTGGATGGAGTTTGCATGTTCTCCTTCTTTCTCCATCCAAACACATGACCATTAGGTAAGTCTGTCTCTTTAAATTGCCATTAATTGCGCTGTATCTCTATTTTTCTCTACAATGGAATGCAGCATTTTGTTACAAACCAGCAACAAAATACTGCCTTGCAACAAAACGCAAACTAAAAACTAAAATATATATTTAGATTTCTGTAAAATAAACTCCAGGGCAGAGATGCAGGTTGTCGTTAGTAAAAAAAGGAAAAAAAAAAAGTAACTAAATATTATTACACTGCCTTTGCACTGGAACAGTAATTTACTTGTAAGTTTCACCTCACCTGAACAGGCCTTTGGGTTGTTGACCTACTCTTTAAAATTTCGATTTACGATGTGCAAAGACACCGAGGTACAAGCAAGATGATGAGAAAGCACTTAGCTGAACGTTTACGAGTTGAAACATAAAGTGTTTCAACTCATAAACGGTTCACCAGGCTGCCATGCAAAACTGCAAATGAGTTTATGTAATGGGTTTTTACCTGCTTGCAAGGCTGGTAGGTTTAGGCACCACTTCCTGTAACAGCTGGTCCAGATTTTCTGATGCATTTCAGTGGTCATAGTGCATCAACATTCTGTTAAATCAGATCCTGGTTATCAGACCAAGATAGTGCTGTGAAAAAGTTTGTCCCCTCTTACAGCTTTCTTCTGTTCCCGCTTCTGTTCTCACATGTAAATGTTTCAGAGAATCAAATAACTTTTCACTCGAATGGCTGCCAAGGCAAATTAAAGCATTATCAAACATTCACGAACCAAAACAACACTCCAGGAATGTTGAAAAATGTTGATTCTACATAATACCCCTTTTATGTTGGAAAAAAAGTTGATTTGTTTCTATGTGGGAAAGTACCTGCAATTGTTAAATCATGACGTAACAGTGACTAGCTACATGTTTTGTTTAGTTTCACCACCTCCACCCGGTCTGATAACTGGCAGGCCTATAGAATCAATAAATCAATTAAATATATTTTGTCAAAACATTCTGCTGACCATGAACATAAAAAGACCTGAATCACATCTTAATCACTTGGAAATAGATTCTGTTGACTTAAGTTGACAAAAATACAGCTCTTAAGGAAGATG